ATTCTTTTCTATATGAAGCTTATTAACTTTTTAATTTTGGTGGGTAGAGAGTTGAGTTAAGTCAATAAGAATTTCCTGTTATGTGATTATCATACTGCTGCTCCAAACAGCCAATAGTATATTTTAAACCTACCTATAGCTTACTCGGCAAGCTGGATAAATTATAGTAGTTTTCAAACATTCTATTCTAGTGACTGATATATTTTTGGTCTTCTTAAATGCATATTTGAAAGCTACATGTATGATTTTTGGACATCCAAACTTGTGAGACTCAATGAGGCCTAGGGAAGTATAGCTTCTGATTACCCCACAAGTTCAAACAAATTTGATACCACAGCGAGTACTATTAATCCTTGTTTTCTTATGCATATGTTTTATTAAGTTATGTATTTGTTAACAAAAGTAGCTAACGTTTAGTTAACTTTAGAAATGTCAAAAGTTTCCTAAGCTTAAGGGGAAAGTCTGTTCAACTATATGTGTGCATTATGTCACATGATTTCTGTGTTACTCAAGTTACAGTCTTCTGGAAGCAGCTAATTGCTTCTGCTATGATTTATTACTTTGTTGCTTCTGCTAGGGTTACTGTTCCAGTGAGTCAAAGTACTGCAATGAAATCATAAAGAAAAAAAAACAAAAAACAAGAAAAGGTTAAAAGTAGAAACTGAAGATAAGTAACATGGAACTTTTGGATCAACACTGCAGAGGAAAAAATGCTATTATTTTTATTTCATATCTAAAAATTTACATTTCACTTTGTATTGATGATTTCTCTACAAACCTAAAAATCCATTATGTTGATAAGATAAAGAAATGAAGTAAACTATAAAATTTAGCTAAAAAACCTTTTGATATTAAGTTAGGAAGTTCTAGAAGTAATGCAAAAGAAATATGACAACTATAATATAGTATATTTTCATTCCTAAAATGAAAATTACTTTTCACTGAATAGAGGCTTTGGAAATTCATATAAAAATCTTTTCTTAAAAAATCAGATTTTTTTTATGTACAACAGACTTTTAATATGAACTAAAAGCATGTAAAATTTTGTGAAGACACAGTAAGTTTAAGAGGTATGGCATGTATAGCTTAACATACACAGTCTTACTCATCAATGGAGTGATGTCACCCTTATAAAGTTAACAAGGAGATATAGAATATTATGTATGTTGATGCATAAACCCCCTACCTATCCTACAAGACTCTTTTTATTTAAATTTTAAAGCAAGCTGATGCACGTGGGAATTTGTATGTACTGTGACACCATTTTTTCAGTAAATTTGGGTTAATAAAGGGACAAGATAAAGTAATGTATCAGATGAGCAAGATATAAAACCTGGTTATAATTTATATTTTACTTTTATGAAATTTACTGAACAGATCTGCTGATTTTCACTTTAATTGAAATAAAATATTAATTTTAAATATTTTAATAGTAAACTTTTGACATAACACTATATGTTAAACATGAAATTCATAAAATTAATTTAATAACTTCATGAGATCTACTTGAAAGGCATTGTTAATGGACTGATTCTGTCTAGAAAGTTTTATGAGATAAATAAATTCTGTATCAGATCAAAGCAAAATTATGGGAGTGCCCAATAGTCAACCTTGATCTTTGGTTCTGGTTCAGTACCTAAAAGTCAGTCTTTCAGTCTTGGTTTTGTTAAACAAAACAATGAATATTCAGTTTCTTTAAAAATAAAGACATATTTTGAATGATTTTTGTACATTTAAACATTAATATATGAAATACTGTTCACAAATTAGAGGTTGTTGATAATATTTGGCAATAAAATCTTTTAATGACTGACAGCCAAAATGTTGCTATACATCGATCTCAGTTCAATATAAAAAAAGAAGATAAAGAACAATTTTCAATTTACTTACATATGTTTGTCATGTTTAATTTTAATTATTTAAAAGTGGGAGTACCCAAATTGACCAGGGTATGATTCAACTAGATATTATATTTAATATTTAACTAATCTAGTGTAGTCAACTGATGTAATACATTTCAACATTTATTTATTTTTAACAAGAGTAAGATAAAAATGCTGAAAATTACTTTCTTGCAATGATTTTTGCAATTTCTATTTCTTTTAATTTGTAAAATTGGTGGAAAAACATGATAAATCATTTATAAAACTTGAATCTCTTCAAGCTCATTAAAATAATAAAATGTCACGTGAGGAGCATCACTGCTGTTTGTCAAATAATTCCATCTCCCAATGTATTTGACAATATAGCATAAATTACAGTAATATGTTATTTTAATAAAAGAGTCAGTCTACAATAACAAATGGATGTGAATATAACTTATGTTCCACTTATTATTGCAAAATATTTTTCAACAACCTCTAATTCAGTGAACAATATTTCATATATTGATGTACTTCTTTGCTATGAAATTGAATGAAGTCTGTGAAGCAAAAATATACTGTCAATCTATGGAAGCATTCTGTTCAGTTGTAATTTCATATATTTTCATTTATTTTACGTATGATACAAATTAAAATTTCTAAGTACTAGTGTTAGGAAGGTGTGAACACAAACTATATGTACCAGTATTACTTTCAGAAGCCTTTACTGAATGGGACATTTGGTTGTAGTTTTCTTTTTTTTTATTCTTTATGTAAAAGGCCTAATTGATAATATGGTATGTCTCGGAGATGCATAAACTGTTTTCAAGAGAAACTGTCTTATTAATTTGAGGCAGTTTATCAGGTATTATTTGTTGAATTAGTACAATAATTATCGTTTTTATGTAGTGGCAATAAACACCTGTATTAATTTGTAAAATGCTCATATATCATTTAATATAATTGATAGGACCACATGAATTGTCCACAAAGTTTTATTTACAGAAATTAACAAAAAAAGAAAATAAATAAATCTCACAAAAAATAAAACTATCAACAGATGTAATTGCATCACACCAGGTTTGTCCAATAAACAGGTATCAGACAATAATATTTTACTGGCATGTTGTGATGATATCAGTCTTTAGTGTTAATAAAATTAAGTGGGTATAATTTGCACAGCACCAATTTTTAGCAAATATTTTCGGACTCCATTTTTCTGGTTCAGTACTTTCATCTCCAAATATACATATAAATAAATGCAGACACTGTTTTTTAATAAAAATCATATGTTATATTCATAAAAATACAATATTTATACTGATGTTTCTTGAAAATAGTTCATATTTGATGACAAAATACCTCTTTGTTCTTTGAACTGAGACCGAAAGACCAACTTTTAGGTACTGAACCAAAACCGAAGACTGAGACAGACTAATAGGCACTCCCCAAAATGGTAAAACAACTTATAAAACTGAAAATAAATTTATAATCTGTTACATTTATTTTCACTTGTAACAAATGGTTCTTAATTACTGAAAACAATTTTAAGAAATTCTCATATACCCACTACCCCCAACTTTCATTATATATTTATCCCTGTCAAATTTAGACACTATTTAATGATTGCACACACAAAAATAATGCCTCATAAAGAAAAATACCTGTTCTACATAATTCTAAACAAATGGGTAAGAAAAGCACATTATTAGGGCAGATGGCAAAAGACTTAAAGTCTATGACTTATAATAGTCCATTTTGACCTTCTGCCTTTCCACTTTAAAAAGTTAGTGCATTTTCTAAGTGTTCAGTTACCTTCAGCTTCAAAAGATGTATTGCAACTTGTCAGCTGTTTGTAAATCAGGCAGTGATATGGAGCCTTACACACCAATTTCTGTTCAGCATAAATTTCAAAGTCTAATAATACATATCCACACCTGATATAAACAAGGAGTGGATGGCTAATTTGATAGTAGAAATGATGGAAATTTTCCAAATTGCAACTAATTCTCATCTTTGAATATTGGAAATAAAAGAAGGTTGAAGGCAGTAATGGTTAAGCACATTCCTCATATAAAACCCATCCACTGCATTAACCATAACACAAAATGGGCTATTCTAGATACCTGAAACATGTTAAGAACCGAGAACAAGAAATGATATTACGGCCGTTCTGAAGTAAAGACCAACTTCAAAATACATGTAGTTGACAAACAACAGACAAGAAAATAAATTAATCCCTTCTTTGTTATTAAGCTCTATCTTGAAGCATTTGGCATTCAAAGATAAACATTTTTACAAGAGCCAAAAATTAATCAATTATCTGCTACAAAAATGCATGAGTATTAGATGCATGTAAAATTTCAAGATGATTTAAACTTCATCTTGTATAGGAATGCAAAACACATAAGCTTGGCTACATAAGCATAGTCTTTCTTAAATATGTCCTTAGGCTAACTGCCTGCTTTCTAAATGAATTGTAAAACACTTATTTCTGTGTTGAAGTATTTAGTAACTACCATCACAGAAAAACAGTAAGTAAAAGTAAATACTAGTAAGTTTTATCTTGAATTGAGCTGCATGTTTTGTGAAATGTTGCTCACAGCCTAAATAAGTGAACTCATAACCAAACAGCTTCAGGTAAATGCATTATATTAACAAAATGTAATTTTGAACAAACAAAGTTTTGACAGGTGAATAACCTTACACTGTAATTGCATTGTTGTTTTGTCTAAGGCTAAATTATTTCTAATTTTTTATGCATTTAAATGAGTATCATAATCTATATAATTATCTAATGAAAAAACTGATATTAACCAATTCAATTTGTTCTTCAATTCACTGTCATGAAAATAAAATGTGAATAATTAATACTATTAACATGTTGTCAGCATCATCTCAAGCAATGTTCTTTAAAGAAGATTTACTACTTTATCACTGGTAATACCCATTATTTCCACTGGGCAACATAGAGTTAATTACCTTAAGTGTTATATTAAAATACTCTATCAGAAAATATTACATCTTAATTTTACTGAGAATTGGACACCAGTATAACATTTAAAGGACTAGAACAGCACATGTGTATAATTTTTTTTTTCTGCACAAATATCATATAACAGTGAAAAACTAACAAACCTTTCTGTTAGTTGTGTGAACGTTTGAGGTCGGTTTCTATGTCGGACTATCACACCCAGGAGTAAGTGAGATCTTGTAGCACTCAAACCTATCAAATGTAAAAATTAGAATTCATATGCATAATAATGATTATCCAGCACAGTAGAAGGATATGCATGAAATTCATAATCAACAATAGGACAGTTCAAAAGCAATCAGAAAAAAGTCTATATGGAAAAGTTGCAGCCAAAATAGTCTGCTATTTCACATGAGAACATGGTTAAGTGTTTAAGATCACAAGAAATGGAAGAAAACATAAAAATTTGCTATGAACTGTCACAACAAATATTAAGCTTTGGGAACTCTAGAAGACTTGTTTTTTATTCAGTTTATGTTGAAAAGTACTCTTCTTTCAATTAATATTTTAAAATAAAATATGAATGTTACATGTAAACCAGAACAATCAATTTTTTTTGCAACTTCTCTTGAAACTTAAGTTTGGTATTTTGGAAGACTTATGACCACTACTGTAAGTAAAGAAACATTCTGCTTGGAAATTAAAATAGCTTTTATAAGCTTGTTGTATCACAAGTTTCTGGATAAATGAATATGTAGAAATCTTGCATACTGTTATTATATGCCTACTGAATGTTATCAGGGAAGTCTGTTCTATAAAAAAGGAAAATTATGAAGGTTAAGTATGGATACCCAGGAAAGTAATTTATAATATATTAAGTGTGCTAGTAACATTTCATAGGTTTTCAAAGAAATCTGAAAAATGTGTAGTATAGTGATATGGTATTTTCAGGTTAAGAGATTTCTTTACAGGTATGAGACAGTTAGACATACTAATAACAGCAGTAGACTGTGTTTGATAACTTGGCCGAGTTTCCTTAGTGTGTATGAAATAAAGACTAGAAAACGTTAACAAAATGATAATCTTTATTACAAATGTATGTGTGCACAGGAAAAGAAGGTCATTTCTACCAGATCATGAATAGATCCAAAGCTTTCTTTGTTTCTCTCAGGATAGACTTCTGTTGAACTAAACATGCTAATCATAAAGTAAGTCTTTATTCAAACTTCAGGTAGAACTGAAATATGAAAGTACACTTAAATTCTATAGGTAAACTTGTTTTTTTCCCAGTTAATAGCATCACCTCATGACCCTTTCTTTCTCACAGTATTGGTCAGCTGTAACATATAGACATTGTCAGTTTAGTCAGCAAAGGATATTACAGTCACCAATCCTTTCCACTCAGATGCTAAACATTACTGCAGTATTCACTTGACCAGAAAAGACAGTATCTACAACACAGAATAAAGAAACACAGCAAGACAACCTCATTGATGTTCTGACCTACATGTTTAAGCTAAAACTGCACAGAAACTAAATAAGTGAATTTTTTTTTTTAATTTCTACTTAACCCTAGGACTACCAGTGCACTCTTTAAATTCCTTTCTGCGCATGTCACAAAGCATTACTGAGTTACACTTAAAATTTAATTAAACCACTTTACTATCAGTGTATTTTATTGAAACTATTATTATCAAGTACGTTATAGTTCAAAGCTTTATATTATCTTAGTTTTTAGTCCTTTATTTCAAACTTCTCATTTTGTTGTCACGTGATTCAAGAGCTATAAAGAATTTCAAACTTTTGCAATGTATAACTAGTCAGACAACTGCAGTCTTGTAGATGTATGTCTAGACAGTAATGTACATTTACTTGCCCTACTGACATATATGTTTCAAAGTCCTTGGCTGAATGCAGTAGAAGCAAGTAATAAATTCTGTTAACCCCTGATGGGTGTCACACCCACCTTCTATACTTAACCTTGATCTTTACAACTCACATGTACTTACTTAACACATGTGTGTGTGTGTATAGTAAAAAAGGAGCTCATTTTACACTGTAATCCAATAATGGTTATCTTGAAATTGGTACCAAGTTGTCGTAATTGGGTAAATGTAACTCCCTGTAGTATTGTTGGCTGATTTGTCCATGACAGCACATCAGTTCTTTCTTACTTAAATATATTATAGTTAGAGAGACATTTAAATTGTATTTAGGTTTATTTTTTGTATCTTAGATAATTATGCATTATTTGTATTTTAGAATTCATATTTGAAAGGTTTAATGACTTTTATAAAATAACTAAAACTTCACCTTACTCTGCGAGGTGTACATTGCCAAGAGATTTAAAAAAAGATTTTGCTGAAGGCTAAAGTATCTCTGCTGTTCATACTGTTCTATCACCCATGGGTACCTGTTGATGTGTGTCGACATAAATAAAAAAATGGGAAAGGAAAATAGAACATTAAAATGAGACATTTAGTGAAAGGGTAAAGATGTGAAATTACACATATGACCATAAGATGATATTTCAAGACTATTCTATGAAGGTAAGTACATATTTCTATTTCATAATTTTAAACATTTCATTGCAGTGTACATTGATGATAATAGCTAGAATTAGTGATACAGTAGAGAAGATTGAAAATAAAATATTGTTGCGTCAGTGAGGTCACGTGACTAGTATCACGCCAGGTCCTTCTAGAAATATCCTATTCCTTCATGAATACTCTAGCATTTACTAGATATGTGTTCGTCTTGTATATATAAGACGGTCACAACATGACGAGAGTGTGTGTGTGTGTGTGTGTAATTGAACGGAGTATTGTTGAGTCGAGCACGTGAGACGTTTGTTGAGAATTGTAGCATTTGTTATAGCGCGACTGTTGAAATTAAGTATATCGCAAAGTTATATTCAGAAAGAACAAACCAGTTTTATTTAAGAAAGGACTTGTGTCGGTAAAGTTTCGTCGGAACGAATTTACGGAAAATTAACTAACGAACGAATGAAGACGTAACAATATTAACATTTACCTTAATAAAACTTTTGATGTTCATTTAGAAGGTTCTAGAGATTATGCAAATGAATTGTGAAAACTGTAAGATAATAAATTGTATTTTTATACTCAAAATGAAACCAACCTTGCAGGTGAACTATTCAGAGTCTGAGTGCAAATAACTACATTAAATAAAGAATTCTTCATTAGAAATAGTACAAAAAATCCAAATTAAATATCTTATTTTCCTGGAAGTTAACATTTCTCTTACACTGAATGGTATTTCTGATAAGCACTTACCTCCTTTAACACAAAGCTATCTCAATCTTCTTCTGCTCTCTAAGCACTGCTAAATATTTTCACAATCAGCACAACAGTCTATGTAACCCCATCAATTTTGTGCCATTTCTGAACATGTACATATCATGTGACTACTCTCCACCAATAGTATTGTGCCACCTATTTTGGTGTAGCTCACTTCCTCTGCAATTCCCACTCAATCTTCACTTTTGAGAATTGGCAGGCTTTAAAAGAAGAAAACTGGCAGTGGGGAGAAAGGGTGGGAAAGGAGGTAAGTACCTATCTGAAATACATTATCAGTGTGAGAAAAATGTTAACTTCTGATATGGTCTTGCTTCGACTCAAACAAAGCTAGAATCCCACACTGCAAAGGTGTAAGAACCAGTGTAGGCACATAGGATTGAAACCAAGCAGAAAGCAACCAGTCAGAATGAAAGGGTGTGCTGAATGAAGCACACTTGTTGGGTACTGCACTACTTCTGGAACAGGTATTAATCTAATATGGGCAGAAAGAAATGAGTACACAAGTGCAATTTGTTCTGAGAGGTGCAATCCATAGTAAAATATAAACAGAATTAGCTCTGTACATTCACAACCTCAACCAGACAGACAAGGCTCCACAACTAGTCCTTGGGATTAGGAGGTTGAGGATTAAAAAAAAAAATTAACACAGGCCTTGACAAATATTTTCAGGTGAAGTAGTCAGCCCAAAAACTCAGAAGCCAGGTGTGCCTAACCAAACTTCACTACTGTCTGTACCAGAAAATGGGTGCTATGTATATATGTACTTTCACAGCAATGAGTACATGATAATAATTGCATGATATCAACAATCACTTGATAGTATTGCTTGAACTAACTGCCTTTGGTCCCATCTGAGTCTAAACAAGCACAATGATTGGGTGAATTGAGAGGAAGATGAAAACAAATGGTGTGAAATTAGTAATGTTTTGTGCAACTGCAACACTTCATTCCCCCAAAAAAAAATACGAAGTGTTAAAATCCTAGAAACAAAGTTCGATTTCCAAGAGTCCAGAACTGTTCTAGGTTCAAGTTCTATTTAGTACAGCCCTAAGCACGAATAAAATCAGAGAAAATACTAGGCGTCATGATGAAATTTTTAATCGCCATGGTGACCAAGTGCCCAGGAAATGTGGAACATTATTATTATTCATGTTGACATACGAATACAAAAAGTAGCAATGAGACTATGAATGCTATGATAGGATCTTTTATTCTCAATGTTTCAACTACAAATCCACTACAAGATAATCTCCTGAAGAAGACTTGTAGTTTAAACATTGAGAATAAAAGATTCTGTCATAGCATTCATAGCCTCATTGTTACCTTAGTATCCATATGGATACTCATCTACCCCAACTGTAAGTAAACAAGAGTGTCATACATCAAACAACCAGAACTACAAAATAGGAAGTTAGCTGTCAGCTGAAACTGGAAAAACTCCGAAAACAACCGTGGGTGCAAGAAGTACAACAAATCGAACCTAGCATTATGGAGTCATGGTGTTGCCTCAACTCAACTGTAAGAACAGGGTAATATCTATGACTGGTATTATGAGCAGAAATCATAAAAGTAGGAAAGAGACATCCTGCATCCAGAAATATTAAAAGGACATGGAACATTCAATTGTAGAAACAGTGTACATATGTCCTGCAGCCAGCATTATGAGGCAGAGGAAGTCCTTCAAACTCAACCATAGGAGCAGGGAAAGAACCTCTTGCAATCGGAATTAATGAGAAGAGAGGCCTATACTGCAAAGAATCATGGGAACAGGGCAGTGTCATACTGAACCTGGTATTACAAGAAGGATCCCGTGAAGGTTGGACCTGCACCAACCAACATCTATCCACCTGGGAAAAAGGATTTAGGGGAAACGGAACAAGGGAAGCTAGCTTTGCCCTCTTCTCATTGAGAATATAACCATGCGTATGTATG